CGTCCTACTCCAATCATCTATTCGTTTCGACTTTTGTCCTGTGTATATTATTGCCACTTGACTTGGACTCGTCCTGATAGCTTACACGATATGTTGTTTTTTGGTGGCCTGGGCGTGACTGGATTATTCATTTTACCGCCCCATTAATTGTTCCTTTTCTAACACATATTCATATTGTGCATTGTAGGGTTGTGGGTCGTGATTATTGTGGACTCATGCCCTCTGGCTAACTCAGTTTGTGCGACATTATGCATCAGGTCATTTTTTACTATTGTGTTTTCATAGGTATCAGATGGCGTTCTCTTCCGGGCTTCACGTGTGTTTTACCCTTGGATTGATTGCACCAGCCTTGCAGTCTGCTATGCTCCTAGGGTCTTACACCACTGGACTCTCACAGGCTACGCGCTCTCCTAGTTTCACTCTGAGCATTATAGGGCCATCAGTACATCATCATTCAGTACCTCTCCAACGAAGAAGCTCGCTTTTAACCACTGGCACTCCTCTTTCGTGCCACGCAGGTTCTACAAGGTGGGTCAAGTACTCTCCCTATCTCTGCGTGCACGCACTCAATGCTCTCTTTCTTTTCTCGCTTTTCTTTTCGCACACTCGTGTTATCTCTCCTCTCTCTCTCTCTCTCGCTGTCTCTCCATCTCTCTCTCTCTCGCTCTATCTCTCCTCATTCTCTGTTCCCTCTTTCTCTGTCTTTCTTTTTCCTCTCTCTCTCGGTCTGTCTTCTTTCTCTCTGCTTTCTCTTTCTCTCTCGTCTCTCTCTCTGCTCCCTCTGTCTTTCGTTCTCGTCTCTCTCTCTGCTGTCTTTCTTTCTTATGCTCTCACCCTGTCTTTCTTTCTCTCTCCCACCACCCCCCCTTTTCTCTCTCGCTCTCCCCCCCCTCTCTCTCTCCCTCCCTCTCTCCCCTTCCTTCCTCTCTCTCATGGTTCTCCCCTTATCCTTTTCTGCACCTCTCGACGCCCTCTCCTCTCTGTGCACCCTCTTTCTCTTCCCCCTCTCTCTCTCTCGCTCGCTTCCCTCCCTCTCTTTCCCCTCTTGTTTCTCTCTCTCACGGCTTCCCCACACTCTCTTCTGCAGGGCTCTCTTCAAGGCGCGCGGACTTGACGAGGAGGACTTCCGATTCGGACTCACGAAGGTGTTCTTCCGACCTGGAAAGTTTGCGGAATTCGACCAGGTGATGCGCTCCGATCCGGAGCACCTTGCCGTGCTCGTGAAGCGTGTGGAGCGTTGGCTCGTGCGCTCGCACTGGAAGAAAGCTCAGTACTGCGCGTGGGCCGTCCTTAAACGTAAGTACACGTGTGTGGGGGGATGGGTGGGGGTGGTGTGTGGAAGAAAGCTCAGTACTGTGCGCGGTAGTCCGTCCCTCAACGTAAGTACACGTGAGTGGGGATCGGGTGAGGGTGGTGTGTGGAAAGAAAGCTCAGTACGCGCGTGGGCCGTCCTTAAAACGTAAGTACACCTGTGTGGGGGATGGGTGGGGTGGTGTGTGAAGAAAGCTCAGTAGCTGGCGAGTGGTCCGTCCTGTAACGTAAGTACACGTGTGTGGGGGTGATGGGTGGGTGGTGTGTGGAAAGAAAGCTCGTACTCGCGTGGTCGGCGCTCAAAAACGTAAGTAAACGTGTGTGGGGGATGGTGGGGGTGGTGTGTGCCGAAAACTCAGTACTGGCGCGTGGTTCGTCCTCAAACGTAAGTAGCACGGTGTGTGGCGGGAGTGGTGGGTGGTGTGTGTAAGAAAGCTCAGTACTGGAGTGGTCCGTCGCTTAACGTAAGTAACGTGGTGGGGGGATGGGTTGGGGTGGTGTGTGGAAATAAAGCTCAGTACTACGAGCGCGTGGTGCCCGTCTTCAAACGTAAGTCCACGCGTGTGTGGGGGTATGGGTGGGGGTGGTATTGGAGAATGCTCAGTACTGCGCGTGGTCCAAGGTCCTGCAAAACGTAAGTACACGTGTGGGGGAAATTGGGTTTGGGGGTGGTCGTGTGGAAGAAAGGCTCTGTACTGCGCGGTCGTTTCGTCCCTCAAACGTAAGTAGGCACGTGGTGTGGGGGTTATGGGGGGGGGGGGTGGTATTGTGGAAGAAAGCTCAGTACTCGCGCGTGGTCCGTTCTTCAAAACGTAAAGTCCACGGTGTGTGGGGGGATGGGTGGGGGTGGTGTGTGGAAGAAAGCTCAGTAGCTTGGCGCGTGGTTCCGTTCTCAATACGTATAGTACACGTGTGTGGGGGGATGGGTGGGGGTGGTGTGGTGAAAGAAAGCTCAGATGCGCGTGTTTGTCCTCAAACGTAAGTACAGCGTGTGTGGGGGGATGGGTGGGGGTGGTGTGTGGAAGAAATCTCAGTATTGCGCGTGGTCCGTTCTCATATATCGTGTAAGTACACGTGTGTGGGGGGATGGGGTGGGGGTGGTGTGTGGAAGAAAGGCTCAGTACTGGCGAGTGGTCCGTCCTTAAAACGTAGTACAGCGTGTGTGGGGGATGGGTGGGGGTGGTGTGTGGCAGAAAGCTCAGTACTGCGCGTAGTCCCGTCCTCAAACGTAAGGTACACGTGAGTTGGGGGATGGGTGAGGGTGGTGTGGTGGAAGAAAGGCTCAGTGAACTGCGCGGTGGGCCGTCCTTAACGTAATACACGTGTGTGGGGGGATGGGTGGGGGTGGTGTGTGGAAGAAAGCTCAGTACTGCGCGTGGTCCGTCCTCAAACGTAAGTACACGTGTGTGGGGGGATGGGTGGGGTGGTGTGTTGGGAAGAAAGCTCAGTACTGCGCGTGGTCCCGTCCTCAAACGTAAGTACACGTGAGTGGGGGATGGGTGAGGGTGGTGTGTGGAAGAAAGCTCAGTACTGCGCGTGGGCGTCTTAAACGTAAGTACACGTGTGTGGGGGGATGGGTGGGGGTGGTGTGTGAAGAAAGCTCAGTGACTGGGCGAGTTGGTCGCGTCTTAAACGGTACGTACACGTGTGTGGGGGGAATGGGTGGGGTGTGTGTGGAAGAAAGGCCTCAGTACTGGCGCGTGGTCCGTCCTCAAACGTAAGTACACCGTGTGTGGGGGAGGGTGGGAGGTGGTGGTGGTGGAGAAAATCGTACTGGCGCGTTGTTCGTTCTCAAACGTAAGTACAGCGTGTGGTGCGGGGGATGGGTGGGGGTGGTGATGGGAAGAAAGCTCCAGTACTGCGAGTGGTCGTCCTTAAACGTAAGTACACGTGTGTGGGGGATGGGCTGGATGGTGTGTGGAAGAAAGCTCAGTAACTGCGCGTGGTCCGTCTTCAACGTAAGTACACGTGTGTAGGGGGGGATTGGGTGGGGGTGGTGTGTGGTAAGAAAGCTTCAGTACTGCGCGTGGTCCGTCTTCAACGTAAGTAACACGTGTGTGGGGGTATGGGTGGGGTGGTATGTGGAAGAATGCTCAGTACTGCCGTGGTCCATCCGTCAAAACGAAGTACACGTGTGGGGGGGATGGGTGGGGTTGGTGTGTGAGAGAAAGCTCAGTACTATCGCGTGGTTGCGTCCGCTGCAAACGTAAGTAGCAGCTGTGTGGGGGTATGGGTGGGGGTGGTAGTGTGGAAGAAACGTCAGTACTGCGGCGTGGTCCGTTCGTCAAACGTAAGTAGCACGGTGTGGGGGGATGGTGGGGTGGTGTTAGGAAGAAACGCTCAAGTACTGGCGCGTGTGGCGCGTTCTCAAACGTAAGTACACGTGTGTGGGGGGAATGGGTGGGGGTTGGTGTGGTAAGAAAGGCTTCGAGTATGCGGCGTGGTTTTGTCCTCAAACGTAAGTACATACGTGGGATGTGGGGGGATATGGCGGTGGGGTGGTGTGTGGAAGAAATCTCAGTACTTGCGCGTGGTCCGTTCTACAAACGTAACAGTACACGTGAGTGGGGGGTATGGGGGGCGGGGTGTGGAAGAAGAAGGCTCAGCTGCGCGTGGTCCGTTCTCAAACGTAAAGTACACGTGTTGTGGGGGATGGGGGGGGGGTTTGGTGTGTGGAAGAAAGCTTCAGTACTGCGCGTGAGGCCGTCCTTAACGTAGAAGTATAGTTTGGTGTAGCGTGTGTCGGGGTTGCTTGCTGGTTGTTGGCGGGTGCGTGTGTGTGTGTGTTGTGCGTGCATGGGGCTGTGTGTAGTGCGTGCGTGCGTGTGGGTGTGCGTCGGCGCGGCGTGCGTGTAGGTGTGTGTGGTGTGTCTTCGCGTGCGTGCGTGGCTGTGCGTGCGTGTGTGTGTGTGTGCGTGCGTGTGTGTGTGGAGCGTTGGCTCGTGCGCTCGCGCTGGAAGAAAGCATAGTACTGCGCGTGGTCCGTCTTCAAACGTAAGTACACGCGTATGTGTGTGTGTGTGTGGTGTGGGGTGGGTGGGGGTCGGGTGGGGTGTGTGTGTGTGTGGTGGGGGCATGTTTGCGTGTGTGTTTCTCTTAATGTCTATTCCTCACCTTTTAATTTATCTTTCACTCTCTCTCTCTCTTACTGTCTTTTTCCCTCCCTCTCTCGTTCCCGCCTTCTCTCTCGTTCCCTCCCTCTCTCGCTCTCTCTCTCTTGCTCTCTCTCTCTCTCTTTCCCCTCTCTCTCTCTCCCTCTTTCTCTCTCTCTCTCTCTCCTCTCTCCTCTCTCTCCGCTCTCTGTATATACACACATACCTACATATATGCCCCTCATGCTTCAGTGAAGAATAAGATCAGCTGGCGGCGTCAGCAGCTGATTGTCATACAGAAACACGTGAAAGGTTACCTCGCACGCAAGAAGCACCAGCCCAGGTAGGTGGCGCCACGCGCACTCACGCCCGCACGACGCGTGCGGTGGGAAGTCTTCACATCATGAAGGTCGTGACCTTCGAAATGAGTTCGTCGAATTTATTCGTGTAGTTGCAACACGATATGCGTAGCAGCGACACGATAATCAGTGCGGTGGACATGATATGCATAGTAGCGACACGATATGCATAGCAGCAACATGATACGTGCAGCTGCGACACGATATGCGTAGCAGTGACACAATATGCGTGGCCGCGGCGACACGATATGCGCCTCTGTGACGCGATACGCATAGCAGCAACACGATACGTGCCGTAGTGACATGATACACTCCTCTATGATACGATACCTGCTGCCTTGACATGATACATGGTCCCACAATACAATACAACTCACCACGACACGATACGCGCCACCGCGACACGACGTAACGTTGCGTCTCGCACGATTGCAGGATCCGCGGCGTCATGAAGGTGTGAACGATCAAGGCGCAGCTGGGCGGCTGCACACGCATCATCACTCCGCGACACGATACACGTCCCTGCGACACGATACGCATCACCGCGACACGATACGCGTCCCTGCGACATGATACGCATCACCGCGACATGATACGGTCCCGCGCCATACGATACGCTACACCCCAACACGATACGCACCACCGCGACACGATAGGCTACACCCCGACACGATACTCATCACCGCGACATAATACGCTACACCGCGGCGCAATACGCTACACCGCGACACAATACGCTACACCGCGACACAATACGCTACACCGCGACACAATACGCTACACCGCGACACAATACCCTACACCGCGGCACGATACGCTACACCGTGACACAATACGCTACAACGTGACACGTTACGCTACACCGCGGCACAATACGCTACACCGCGACACAATACGCTACACCACGACACGTTACGCACTGCGACGGCACGATACGCGCCCCCGCGACGCGACCTAAACGTTGCGTCTCGCACGATTGCAGAATCCGTGGCGTCATGAAGGTGCAAACGATCAAGGCGCAGCTGGGCGACTGCACGCGGTGATGTGATCGTATAGTGTATTGTTTAGTTAGTCTTGTATGATGAGGCTGTTTCTTGCGATCTGTTTCTTGTAGCCGAAGGTTATCTCGCGCTAGCTGAAGAGCCACTTGAAGAAGTCACGAGCAGAATAAAACTATTAAGAGTCGAAGTTGATGTTGATGCACGAAGGTTTACTTCACATATAAAACACCATCTTGTAACTGACAATGCTGGAGGTACACTTCACGTATAAATGGTACTTCATTTAATATTCACACACTAAAGGCTGGTTTCACGTATATAAAGCCTTATTATATATTCACACACAAAAAACCGTTATACGCACACACCATAAACTATGCGTATAAATCGGTAAGAACTCCTCTAAAACTACACATACTAGAAACTACTAACAACACGTACACCAACACTCATAACACATCAAAGCCAAGAACTCCCACTTTTGTCTTGCGCGGCCCCTTATAAACGGCGCGCTACTGTGGTGTCCGCTAGGAACGCCACCGACTAAAATACTTCTATTAGCACCCCACTTTGACTCCACTAGGTGTCGCTACGCTGTCATATTTATATAAAACTTCACACGTTCACAACTTATTTCCCACACCAGGCGTCGTCACTTATCTACGAATTCCCTAAGTTGACGCCTTTTTTCTGGTTGTCAACACGGTCCTCTAATCACATCTGGTGCCTTGCACATCCGTAATCTAAGATCTTTACATCCTGTTAAATCTGTCAACACGGATTGGGCGTGGGGTTCTGTTCTCTACGCTTTCGTACATGTTCTAAGGCGACCCGGTTATGTTTAGCGCCTTATGCTGCGTTTACACTTTGTTCCCGGCGGCCACGGCAGTCCCGTTTCAGGCCACCGTGGACAAAACGGGATGAACGTGAGACAACGCGGGGGGACGGAATGGGTAAACGTGACAGGCCGTGATTGCCGTGGATGCTGCGCCAAATTATTAATTTGTCAAAAGATTTGCGATGGCAGTCACGGTGCGGATGAGAAACGTAGTAGGCCGTAGTAAAACGGGGTGAACGCAACAAAACGTGACAGTACGTAATAGGCCGAAACAAAACTTGGAGGCGGTCCGTAGTGGGACGGGAAGGGGCGGACGGGACAGGACGGGTTCGGCCCGGCGCGCTACGGCGCGTTGCGTTCTACTACGGACTGACACGGCGCGCGCGGTCCTAAAACTGGACTAAAACTAAAAGTAAAACTGAAATGTTGAGTAGTGGCCCAGCTGCTGCCTTCTGTCTTCCGATAACCATTCGCGCACCGACATGGATCTTGGCCTTCTCATCCGCCTTCTTCGCCTTCTTCCTGTCTGCTATACTCTGGCCTTCCCTCTCTGCAACTGCTGCTGGCCTTCCTCTTGCTGATGCAAAGACTGGATGTATGCACCCGGCAAACATGCAAACACAAAATCTTCTTCATATTGGGCATTCATGATGTTGTCTCGTCGAAATCTCAGGATACAATGATTGCTATTGCTTGGGAGGCCTTCTTTTTATACCGTGAGCACAAACGTGCTGCAAAGCTGCCCGGCGTCCACGATTCACCCGTAGAAAGCCTTGACAGAACGTGAAAAACGTGTCAGACCTTGATCAGATCGTGAGAAATGTGAGGGACCCCCTCAGAACGTGACGGGCCGGGAGGCAACGTACTGGCATCCGTGGTAGACCGCGGACCGAACCGTAGTGCGCCTTGGACCCTCCGGGACTCAGCAGCCCCTTCCCCCCACGGCCCGTCACGGATACCGTGATAGACCGTGAGAAAACTTGGCAAGACCTAACAAAACTTAAATACAGAGAAACAAATTGCCATAATCCCACGGCGCACTACGTTTCGGGCAAACGGGGCTGCCGTGGCCGCCGGGAACACAGTGTAAACGCAGCATTAGCAAGTGGCTAGCTAATTTAATATTCATAAACGCGTGACATATATACACGCCCGACATCGTACATGTCTTATGGTGAACCATAGCTAGGGTGCGTCCCTGCTGGCGTACTGAGCAGCCATGACGCGTGACCTTGGCGCCTGTTGCTATGCGAGAAATATACACGTGACTCGCGCAGGGAGTAATTTAAATAATTAGTTAACAGCGCTCTGTTACACACGCATCATCACTCCGTGACACGATACGCGTCCCTGTGATACGATACGCATCACCGCAACATGATACGGGCCCGCGCGATACGATACACTACACTGCGACACGATACGTACCACAGCAACATGGTACACTCATCTGCGACACGATACATGCCCCCGCGACATGATATGCACTGCGACGACACGATACACGCCCCCGCGACGCGATGTAACGTTGCGTCTCGTGCGATTGCAGGATCCGCGGCATCATGAAGGTGCGAATGATCAAGGCGCAGCTGTGCGACTGTGAGCAAATCATCGGGCAACTGCGGCACGACCGCGACGCGTCCGCGGCGGAAGTCGCAGACCTGCAGCGACGCATCGACGACGTCATGACCCGCATCAAGGTAGGTGGCGCCACGCGAGCGTAATGTTCCTATTGTGTCCCATTATTAGTAGTATGAATTAGTAGCACGATTTTACCCAGCGCAGCGGGTACCCGCAGCTAGTATATATATATATATATGTGTGTGTGTATGGATATGTATATGCATGTGTATGTGTACAGAAAATTTAGGCGTTCCATTTGTTAATGACTTGGTTACTTTGTTGCTCGACTGTTCTTCCCTGCATTATAGTTTCTCTGTTGTTCTTCCCAGCGCTAACGTTCTATCATTGTTCCTCCCTCGCGGTAACATTTCTCAATTGTTCCTCCCCATGTTAACGTTCATCCATTGTTTTTCATTGCACTAATGTTCATCCGTTGTTCCTTCCCCGTCGTTCCAGGCGCAGTTCATCGAGAAGAACAATGACGCACTCCACGCGTCGCTCGCGATGCTCCTTGCCGAGGCGAACAACGCCTTCCTGCGCGCGCTGTTCACCGAAGGTTCCGCGAAGGCCGCCTCCTCTGCGGGCGGGGGAGGAGGAGACGGAGGTGTGCGCAAGGGGAAGCTGACCTTCATCAGCATCGGAAACAAGTTTCGCACGCAGCTCGGCAGCCTCATGGAGAAACTACGCAGTACGGTGAGCAGGGGGCGCCACTGGCGGGGTAGGGGGCACCACGGGGGAGCACTATGGGTGGGTATGTGACACCACGGACATGTGGAAAAACCGCGCTCTCTCCCTCTATCTCTCTGTCAGGCCATAATAAAAATATTGTTTGTTTGCTTTCACCCGACCGACCCGCCAAAAAGGGGCCGACTCAAAAAATTTTATTGATCTTTCCCATTTTTTTTTTTTACAAATTACATCCTTGTACATTATATAAATCTGTAGGCAATATATGTACCAAGCAAAACAAGCATTCAACAGAAAAGGTATCTCCACACAAGCACACCCGAGCATGTAGACACCATGCTGAATTTGTAAAAAGTCCCCCTCAAAAAAGAAGAAGAAGCCACCCTACCTACCCAAACTTTTCAGCTTGGGTCGGGTGAGGGCAAACAAAGATTTTTGTCATTGTGGTCACACACACACACACACACTCTCTCTCTCTCTCTCTCTCTCTCTCTCTGCACTCACAGGGCACCAGCTTCATACGCTGCATCAAGCCGAATCAGAACATGGTCGGACACAAGTTCGAAGGCGCGCAGATTCTCAGCCAGCTGCAGTGCTCCGGTAGGTGGCGCCAGCGTGGCGTGCGCGGGCGTTTAGCGTGTGGTTTCAGTATATTTCAGTATGGTTCATGTTTTGTATATTATTATTATGATGATAATATATTGTGGTTTGTGTATGGTGTGTTTTGCATATCATGTTTTTGTTATGTTAATATATAATGTTTCAGTCTGTGCATATCATATGTTTTGTTGTGTATATATGACATTAGTCTCTCCATATCATGTGTTTTGTTGTGTATATATAACCTTAGTCTCTCCATATCATGTGTTTTGTTGTGTATATATAACCTTAGTCTCTCCATATCATGTGTTTTGTTGTGTATATATAACCTTAGTCTCTCCATATCATGTGTTTTGTTGTGTATATATGGCTTCAGTCCATATCATGTGTTTTGTTGTGTATATACAACCTTAGTCTCTCTATATCATGTGTTTTGTTGTGTATATATAACCTTAGTCTCTCCATATCATGTGTTTTGTTGTGTATATATGGCTTCAGTCCATATCATGGTGTTTTGTTGTGTATATACAAACCTTAGTCTCCTATATCATGTGTGTTGTTGTGTATATATAACCTTAGTCTCTCCGCAATGCATGTGTTTTGTTGTGTGTATATAACCTTAGTTTCTCCTATCATGTGTTTTGTTGTGTATATATTAACGGCTATCTTCTTCATTGCATGTGTTTTGATGTGTATATATAACGCTTTAGTTCTCTCCATATCATGTGTTTTGTTGTGTATATATAACCTTAGTCCCTCCATATCATGTGTTGTGTTGTGCATCAACGGCTTTCAGTCCTAATCATGTGTTTTGTTGTGTAGGTATGGCTTCGGTGCCAGCCTCATGGGTCAGGGAGGGCTATCGTCCCGCGCACCAGTTGCTGAGGTCTACAGCATGTACAAACCAGTATCTCCAAGAAGCTCGCCACCTGCACCCACGCATGTTCTGCAAGGTGGTCAAGGTCTTCTCCTATGCCCTCGTGGCACACACCACTCTCTTTCTTTCTCGCTTTCATTTGCACCACTCGTGCTATCTCTCTCTCTCTCTCTCTCTCTCTCTCTCTATCTCTCTCTCTTTCTCTGTCTTTTTTCCCTCTCTCTCTCTCCTGTCTGTCTGTCTTTCTCTCTCTTCTCTTCTCTCTCTCTCTCTCTCTCTCTCTCTCTGTGTCTCTGTCTTTCTTTCCCCCTCTTTCTCTCTCTGCATGTCTTTCTTTCTATCTCTCTCTGTCTTTCTTTCTCTCTCTCCCTTTCTCTCACCCCCCCCCCCCCCACGCCGCCGCGCTCTCTCTCTCCCTCCCTCTCTCCCCCCTTCCTGTTTCTCTCTCACACGGCTTTCCCCCCACTCTCTTCTGCAGGCTCTCTTCAAGGCGCTGTCGAAAAAAACCTTTTCCCCCCCGAAACGAAGGAGGACTTCCGATTCGGACTCACGAAGGTGTTCTTCCGACCTGGAAAGTTTGCGGAATCGACCAGGTGATCGCTCCATCGGAGCACCTGCCGTGCTCGTGAAGCGTGGAGCGTTGGCTCGTGCACTCGGCAGCTGCGAAGAAAGCTGCAGTACTGGCGCGTGGGCCGTCCTTCAACGTAAGTACACGGTGTGGTGATGGGTGGGGGCTGGTGTGTGGAAGACATGCTCACTGCCTGCGCGGTGTCCGCCGTTCTCAAGCGAAGTAAACGTGTCGTGTGGGGGGAATGGGTGGGGTGTGTGTGGAAGAAGCTCAGTACTGGCCAGTGGTCCATCCTCAAGCGTAAGTAGCACGTGTGTGGGGGGATGGGTGGGGTGGTGTGTGGAAAGAAAGCTCAGTAGGCTGCGCCGTGTCCATCCTCCAAACGTAAGTACACGTGTGTGTGGGTATGGGGGGGGGTGGTGTAGTGGAAGAAAGTCAGTAACTGGCTGCGTGGTTCGTCCCTCAAACGTAAGTACACGTGTGTGCTAGGATGGGCTGGGGGTGGTGTGTGCGAAGAAAGCTTAGTAGCGCGCTGGTCCGTTCTTAAACGTAGACACGTGTGTGGGAATGGGTGGGGCTGGTATGTGCGAAGAAGATCAGTACTGCGGCGTGTCGTCCTCAACTAAGTACAGGTGTGTGAGGGATTGGGTGGGGATGTGTGTGAAAGAAAGCTCAGTAACTGCGCGTTGTTTGTCCTGCAACGTAAGTCTAGCACGTGTGTGGGTGGGGATGGGTGGGGTGTGTGTGGAAGAAAGGCTCAGTACTGCGGCGTGGCGGCGTTTCTCAACGTAGACAGCGCGATGTGGGGATGGGGGGTGAAGAAAGCTGCAGTACTGCGCGTGTCCGTCTTTAAACGTAAGTACACGTGTGTGGGGTCATGGGTTGGGGTGGTGTGTGAAGAAAGCTCCAGTACTGGTGCGTCGTCGCGTCCTCAACGTAAGTACACGCGTATGTGTGTTGTGTGTGTGGTGTGGGGTGGGTGGGGTCGGGGTGGCGTGTGTTGTGTGTGGTGGGGCATGTTGGCGTGTGTGTTTCTCTTAATGTCTATGTGAAACTCACCTTTAATTATCTTTCAGCTGCTCTCTGCCTCTCTCGTTCCTTCCTCTCGTTGCTCTCTCTGCTCTCTGCTCTCGCTCTCTCTTCTCTTCGCTCTTTCTCTCCTTCTCTCTCTCCTCTCTCCTCTCTCTCCGCTCTCGTATATACAACATACCTCCCGACATATATGGGCCCCTTCATGTTTCAGTGAAGAATAAGATCAGTGCGGCGTCAGCCGCTGATTGCAGTACAGAAACACGTGAAAAGTTACCTGGCGCACGCAAAGAAGCACCAGCCCAGGTAGGTGGCGGCACGCGCAACTCACCCCGCACGACGCGTGGACGGTGGAAGTCTTGCACATCATACGGTCGTGAACCCTCGAAAATGATTTCGTCGAATTTATTCGTGTAGTTGCAAGCAGCGATATGTTTTTAGCAGCCGACACGATAGCATAGGCAGCAAGCATCGATACCGTGCAGCTGGCGACACGAATATGCAGAGGCAGCAACATGATACGTGCAGCTGCGACCACGAGTATGGCGTAGGCAGTGACACAATATGCGTGGCCGCAGCGACACTATATGCACGCTGCTGTGGACGGCGATAGCACCATAGCAGGCAACACGAATACGTGGTAGTAGTGGACATAGTACAGTCCTCCATTGAGAAAAAAAAAACGAAAAAAAAAAAACGGATACGCTGCTGCCTTGACACGATACATACTCCGCACGATACAACTATCACCTCAACCACGACACGATATGCGCCCCTGCGACAGCGACGTAAAGTTGCGTCTCGCACGATTGGCAGGATCCGCGCGTCATGAAGGTGTAAACGATCAAGGCGCAAGCTGGCGGCTGCCGCCGCAATCATCACTCCGCGACACCAATACACGTCACCGCGACAATGATACGGTCCCCGCGCGACACGATACGGCTACATCCGCGAACGACGATACGCACCACAGCAAACATGATACGGCTCATCTGGCGCGAGCACGATACATGACTACACGATACGCACTGCGACGACACGAATAACGCCGGCCCCCCCGCGACACGTTACGCACTGCGACGACACGATACGCGCCCCGGCGCACGACGGTAACTTGGCGCTTCGTGTCGATTGCAGGATCCGCGGCATCATGAAGGTGGCGAATGATCAAGGCGCGGCAGCCTGGGCGACTGTGAAGGCAAATATCGGTAGGACTGTGGCACACACCGCGACGTGTCCGCGCGGAAGTCGGCAAGACCTGGCGCGGACGCATCAACGACGTCATGCACGCCGCATCAAGGTAGGTGGGCGCACGCGAGCGAGGCGAGGTAGGTGGCTTCACGAGCACGCCAGGCGAGGTTAGGTGGCGCCACGCGCGCGAGCGAGCGGTGGCTGACGCGTCCGCCACGGAGGTCGCAGACCTGCAGCGACGCATCGACGATGTCTTGACCCGCATCAAGATAGGTGGCGCCACGCGAGCGAGGTAGGTGGCGCCGCACGAGCGAGCGAGGTAGACGTAGAGTGAGGTAGCTAGAGCAAGGTAGGTAAGCCAAGGTCACTCAAGTTAAACTAGAGTTCGTAATTGAAAGAATATACAATTGAAATGGTAAATTAATAAATAGAATTTAATTGTTAAAATAATGAATTAATAAATTAAAATTAATTGTTAAAATGTGACCCGCTCCAGCAAAACCAGGATTAAGTAGGAAATTCTACAAATTGAGTTATGTGCATGTCTGAATAGATCATTTAATTACCTTTAAAATGATATATAATATTTGGCTATATCTAAAGAATGTGGTTAGCCGCTAGAAACAGTTGCCA